GAAAAAGAAAAAAAAATAGTACGGAGAAAACGTGTGAAGCTTATATAGATTTTAGAATTGAAGATTTTAATATAAAAATTAATAGATGTACAATATGTTGAATACATATATCGGTACGAGGATTACTTTATTTTATTGCAAATAATTATTCGGATAATTTCATCATTTCTCATTTGCTCGTCGAACATTTAAAAAATTAGCAATATTTCATCGATTCATCAGATTTCTCTTATATATATATACAAAATATATGCAATAACGTTCATTCGATAAAACAATAACATCGTGCAAAAGAAGAAAAAAAAGAAAAAGTTCTTTCAATCGAATTTTCACTGCCTTCTCGACTATAATATTTATGAATCGGATCATCGATTGTTCGATGATAACACAGGCTCGTAAATGTAATGTACCTTGTTTGAATATTTGAAACAAAGCTGATTATGCGCGATTTTTAGAGCATAAATAAAGAGGGAATATCACATGACTGCGAGGCAGGATAAAAAGGATCGCGGATAATGTCACGGACAGTGTAATATTCCGCTTTGGGATCGTTCGCATATCAATTTTGCAGCGATACGTAAAAAAAAAAAAAAGGGGGAAAGAGGAAAGGAAACGAATTTAAAATCTTTTTATTATTCGGCGACGTAAAACATATCTATAAGGACACAGATGGTTTCTTTGGAAAACCATGATCGTTCATTTAATATTCTCTGAAGGAATAAATTATATCTATTTTTATTTTTACGGGAGTGATATAATAAAATAAACTCGAGAAAGCTTGGAATATTTGGAATAATAATTTATATTCACGGATATTCGAATATTGTGTTCGAATGGAAGAAGATCGTCTTTTAAATAAATATCTTTTGTTATAATTTCATTTATGATTTATGATACGATTCGTGATAATCTTTTCCCCTTATATTTTAATTATTGTACGTTATTATTAAGTTACTTTTAATTAAAAAAGCGAAAATTTTTTTAACCTCAAACTTTTCTTGATTCCGTTAGAATATTCGTATATATCGAACCTAGCAAGTGCAACAATAACAGTTCGTTCGATCGAAATTCGATAATTTTGAACGATCTGTTAGAAGTAATAATAATAATATACATAAAAATTACGCGCAGAATACGACATACTTTTATATCATCCGCATTGTAGATACCATTTGTAATCAATGTTGAATGATCGATGTAATTATTGTGATGCGAAAGTGATGCGAAAGTGTTCGAAAGCGAATTATTTGTATGCTTGTAAGTAGACCCTATGCAATAAGTGTAAAACGAGAGAGGTTAAATTGGACGAGAGTATAGATGAAAAGAAAGATGTAATGAGTTACACATACACACAAAATGTACAGATAGGCTGCATTTTCCTTGCTGAGTAGCGGCGTGACTATATATGCCTCTATAACGTATAATATTGCTCATGAATATACGCGACTGAGAATAAATACGATTCTTAAATGTACACACACATGTTGGAAGAGAAATCGTTAATCGATATCATCCTATCGTTTTATAATAAATTTTGTCTCTGACGAAATTTGTTTGAATTGCAGACGTAATATTCGTCGTTCAGAAATTGGAAAGAATAATAGTATATATATATATATATAAAGTATATATATATGAGAGAACGAAATGAAATAACGCCGTTAAATCATTTGTTTTATTATTACTTTTGCAATATGGTTGCGCCATACATCGTGCTTTCGGCACGCAATCTAGTCTTATAAGCACCATTGAGACCAGGAAATTGTCCACTGTCCGTGTACACATGAAAATACAAATTTATCACGTACCATTATTTCGAATTTATTTCATTTCCAATGACACATTTGAAAATTACACGTATTTCAGGGGATATAAGTAAGTATATATAAAAAAATATATATGTATATATTAATTTCAATCTATGCAAAATAATTTTTAAATCTATGCAAAATTTTAAATTTATTTTAATTATCTCAAGTGATATATTTTTAAATTTGTAAAATTTTAGAAATATTATTAAAAAGAAAAAATTGAATAATGTTGAAATAAATTAAAACATAAGATTTTAATGCGTTAGTTTTATTCTGTGATAAAAATTTCAAATTTCATTATACATAAAATATTATAGAATAATAAAAAAATATCAATTATCGACTGCAACAAACATAGAAATCATAAAAACTTATCGTCTGTATTTAAATTAGAGAGAAAAAAAAAATAACATAAAAAATTATAAAAATAATAAAATAATAGTAAAATAGTGAAAATAATAATATTTAGATATTTTATATTTTAAAATATTCGGCTGAAATTGACAGACGCGTCGATCGACCTTGCCTATCACAACAATTATCAAGCGAGAAAAGGTTACAGGTTAGCAGTTTCTTTTTGACTTCTATACCATTCGGACGTGTTGAAGCTACACGCGTACAATTTCGTATATAATTTAAAGTTATATACGAATTTTGTATTAATTACATTTATTTAAAAGTTTTAATTATATTTTAACTACAAATATAATAATTTAGTGCGTTTTATTTACGAGTATAGATACACTTCGTTATTAATACGGGTAAATGAAAAATTATTCCAATCTATAAACGATAAGTTAATTTTTGATATGAATTTATTTTTTAAAAATATATAACACTTATAAATATATCCACTTACAAAAAAAATACAAGTTTAAAATTTTTCAATTTTTATGGAGTTATTTGTATAATATTAATTTTAAATTATTATCAAAAACATAGTATAAGTATAAAATTTTTATGATATTTCCATAACATTTCCAATATTATTCCGATAAAATATTTGAAATAAAATTTTAATAATTTATATTTTCTTTTCTAATACAAATTTGATAAATCTATTAGTTTATTCTTATAGAAATTCAGAATATAATAAATTTGGAATAAAATAAATTGAAATTTTAATATCCTAAATGTTAAATATTTAAATATTAATACAAATTAATATTAAAATTAATATTTATTATTTTATAAAAATTCTATAAAAATTAAATAAAAAATTAAATAATTTTAATTAAACTAGTATTTTTATATTATTGTTGTTTAAATTCATGAATTTAAAATATTATATAATAATATATATAGAAATTATATATATGTATAATATTTAAAAATACAAAAATCTATATAATATATATATTTTTATTTACAATAAAAAGATTAAATCAAAGAAATAGATTAAAATTGTTAATTAGTAAATTAAACAACAATGCAGTAAAATTTATCGGTAATATTTTTTGAATATATATAATATAGAGAATAGATATCTAAGAGAGACAAGAAAAGCAAATGGTAAGAAAAGGATAGAGATAATAAGACTATTGCAATCAGCGTCATCTTCAGAGTGTCGCAAATGAAACTCATAAAGAAAGGATAGAAAATAAAAGGAAAAGGATAGAGATAGACTAAGAATTGACCGCTAGTACCATCTTTTGGCTTCGAAAAAAATCTTCTTAAGACAAGGTAAAGTAGAGTAGGAATTAAAGTCTAACGCCATCTCTTGATGTTTTTTTTAATACGTGCTTTCAACTATATTTAAGAGATGGCACTAGTTTTCAATTCCTACTCTACATTATCTTGCATAAGGTATCTTTAGCATCCGAGAGATGACACTAATGATCATTTCTGATCTTATTTCTATCCTTTTCTAACTATTTTCTATCCTTTCATTATGAGTTTCATTTGCGGCACTCTGAAGATGGCGCTGATTTCAATATTTTTACCTATCTCTATCCTTTTCCTACTATGTTCTTTCCTTGTCTTACTCTGCGTATTCATGGGCGTAAAGAATGTTACCGATTTCTGATCAATTTTAATGTATTGTTAATTAATTTCTTAATTAAAAATCCTCATAAAATCAATTATATTCACTTTTTACATGTCATAAATGTCTCAATTTTTATATTTTCGCCTTTTTGATGTATTTAATTTTTATTATAATTTTAAGAATATATTTTCATTATTATACTGTTTATAGATGGGTCTCGATACGTAGTCACCTCCTCGTTGGTGAGACCTGGTAATTGGCATCACTTTTCAAATATTCGATTAAAAAAAATTTATTGTTATATCACAAAAATTATACTAGTAATATTATATTGGAAAAATTATTTTATGAAAAATGATGCCAAGCTAAGAACTACGTGCTAATAAATAAAAAATAATAATTTCTTTTATAAAAATTTCTTTTTTTTTCAGCTTACAATTTCAATTTTTCCGTTTTCTTTTACATCATAATACAACGTCGAATTACATAATTACTTTGGTATTATACCAAATGGTGGTATACCATTTTGGTATACTTTGGTGAATAATAATACTCAATCATACACATCATACAATATTTTTAAGGTAACATTATATGATATGATTCTCTCACTATGTAATCTAAATTCATCATATATGCATAACGAGCTACGATTTTATTTCATTTGTATAGGTATTAATAACCATGTCGACGTGGAATTCTTATGCTATAATGAAGAACTAGATGATAATATAGTACATGAAGCGGATTTTGACATGGAACTGCCTTTGGATTGATTAACGAGAGTATCATCTTGCATTTCAGCGGTGAATTGAGTTGTAAATTTATACAGAAGATATCAAAGGTATTTATGATACCAGAGAGACAATAGATCGTTCAAGCCGCTATGTTAATTTCCCCTTTAGCAAAATCTATGAAGTGGTAATTTTATATAAACACGAAATATATCAACTTACGCTAATTAATTACACGAGAATATGCATGTATGATGTATAATAAGTAAAAATAATGGATAATAATATTATCGTTTCCTTGGAACAATAGTTTGCATTAAATTTTATCATAATAAATATGCAAACAATATCTATCAAATCGTTGAAGAAAGATTTGGAATGATCGATTTTTTGTTAAATAAATGATAAAAAGTAATTAATTGTAATTAATTGTAAACAATATATACGAAATATATATATATATATTTTTAAAGAAAAATAGTGAAAGATGATAAAAATAATGTTTTTCAAGATAAAACAACAAAATGCTGTTGAACAAATATAATTAATAGGAGCGATAAAATAAATCTCAAACATTTTTCAAATAATTTTTTCAATTTAATTTAATTTATATATAAATTTTATTAAACTAAACCATTCAACGAATTCTTTTGATCAAGAAAACAATATTGCCCGGAATAAAAAACAATTTTTTAATTAAGGGAATAAAAATATTTTCAGTAGAGAACATTTTGAAAAATTAAAAATTTGTTCTTTGTTACAGAATAGTAGCGTGACACACGGAAAATTTAATATGAATTAAATGGAATTATATTCAGTGATATTAATTTTTTAATTTTTGATAAAATTTTTTTACTTTTTTGTTTTTTTTTTTTTTTTTTTTACGTTCATACATCACAGAATGTGAAAGGTAGAGTATTTGAATATAGAATACATTTTAAGTGGAATTTTTTAAATACGAATTACGAAGACATTGATGACATTTTGAATTATTCTAGTATGAATGCATAAATTCTATACCCATATATAAAATTTGTTAAATAAGAGAAGAATTATTCCGTATGAAATATCCTATGAAAAGAAGCTTTCTAGTTTATTTCATTTCCATTTCATATTTCATCCATTAATCGAAATAGAGCAAACTGACAATTAGAAAGCATTTTCATTTTGATTTTGGCCATGTATCTTTCGCTTATTTATCGCTCGTTTTATCGTTTAATGAATTAAATATTTACAGAATATTTCGTGTAATGGCGTAATCATTTTTTAAAATGCTATTAAAATCATTCCACGGAAAAGTAATACGTTTATTCCAGTAGCATTAGCAAGTAAAATAAATCACGTTTACAACATTTTAACAGGCTGAAACTATATTATACATTTTAAAATCATTATCATTGCAAAGAAATAATATTGCAAAATAAAGATTAATAATCGATAAAAATCTAAAATCTAAAATATTTTAAACACGAATTAAATAACAATAAATTACTTATTCTATCATTGGCAGGGATTTTCATCTTTGGAAACGTGTGTGCTTTGCCACTATGACTCAGAATTTGGAAAAGGATAACAAATACAATATATATAGTACAATTAACGGAAACGATATGCAATCAAGATAAAGATGTACGTGATAAAATTCAAATTTCGGCTTAAGAAAATTTATATCGCATCATGTTAAACCATATATTATATAGATATTTGCAGAAAAGATAACATATATGTAGGTTGTATTTGTTTTTTAAAAAGTATCAATTCCAATGAAAATCTTTCGTATGGATCATCTGTAGATATAAAATTGGCTTTCGAACGAAGCCAAACAAACAGTTAAATATTTTTCATTTTTTCTACTATACTAAAAAATAATAATGGACGAACTTGTTTTATCATGAAGCTTGAAAAAAAAAGAAAAAGGTAATTTATTTAAGTTAAATCGTATTTCACACGATTGTTAATTATAAAAAAAAAAAAAAAAAAAGAAAGAAGAAGAAATTGAATTTAATCAAGATAATGAACAAATCGATACAAGAGATGATTGGTATTGTGCTAAATACTACGTTGATAAAAAAACGAATAAAAATCTGTTTTTGATCTCTTGTTCATTCTGTTGCATCGAATTGTTTATTGCCGCATAAACCAAATGCAAACAGTATCAATTGTAAAAACACGTACAGAAGATTTGGGGTGACGTATAAAAGCAGTTGAAATCGGAATTTTCATTAAGTTCGAAGATACAGCCAAACGAATAACATGAATACATTCAACGTGTCTCGCATTCTTCTTACTCTCCTCGTCATTTTGACTATCTTCTCTGCCTGTAAGTAACTACGTACGAAATAAATTGTTAAACTTATTTGTGTTATAGACTCGACTCGACGTTTGCATTCAATCCAAAAACTACTTTTACATACGATTGAAATTTCAATCCATTTCAATCTCGTGTAATTTCACTATGAAAGATTACTTTATTTAGAAGAAAAAATTGAACAATTAAATAAATATATAAATTTATATTAATCCAGTCAAGTTTCTGTTCTAATAAAATCTAATAATTATAAACTCAAAAATCTTGATAAAATTTTCATTGCTCGCTTTAATGCTAGCTGCCATTTTTTGGAAGACCGTGCAGACTTCAAAATCATTGATTTACACGCAAAAATTTAAGCGGAATATTGCTAAAATATTAAAATATTCTAACATGACATTTTCACGAATAAAAACAGCAACCCTGGCAAGAGGGATATGTCCGGAGAACGAAGTATGGCAGAGCTGTGGCACTGCCTGCCAGCCATCTTGCTCCAACCCCAAACCCATATGTACACTAGTTAGTATTACGAAAGATACAAATTATTTCGCATAATAATAATAATATTTTATAATTTTCTTAATCGTAATTTTGATATTACATTTCCAGCAATGCGTCCCAAGCTGCCAATGCGAATCCGGATTGCTGAGAAACGAAAATAAAGAATGCATCGAATCGTCTGAATGTTAATCTAATCAAAGGGGAGGATTATTTTATTATTTTACTTGTAATCATTGAAGCAATCGTTTTCATCATCGGAAATGAAACGAAATAAAAAGTTTTAATTTGACATTCAAAAATCAAACGCTTATTTCCGCTCACGATGTTCCCCAATGTTAAAAAATTACGAAATTCTTCGTAATATTAATTCATCCATTTTTTTTTTTTTTTAGTTCCCATGGAAGTAATAAGAACTTTATAGTTGGGTTGAAAAAAATGTTTTGGCTCCTTTAAGAAATTTGAATTGAATTTTTTTTGTAGAATATTAAAAGTATCCGGATAATATCTTCCTTTTGTGACACTTTCTCTTCTTCTTCTTTTTCAAAGGTGAATTCATCCTTTGAAGATCTGCTTCATTTACACAAAAATTACCTCGTTGAGATATACATCAATCGCTCAATGAATTTTCATTAAAATTATAATAACAATAATTTCTAATTAAATTATCTCTTAAATAGCACTCATCGAGGATGTTTCCAAGGATGTATCCACTATTATCAGATTATACTTCGCTTGCGAAATAAATATTTTGCTCGAACAAATTATTAAATTGCGAGACAGTAAGGACAGTGAGTAACAATTGTTGTCCGAGTATTGGTAGAGCGATTAAAACGAAAAAAAATTTCATCTCATCGTGCAAAATATGAAAAAGAAAAAAAAAAAATTATGCGACCAAATATGCTTTTCAATGTTTAAGAAAAAGAAAAAAATGTAAAAAAAAAAAAAAAAAGAATTCCAACATTTCACGAACGCGTCAATCCATTATAAATCGACATCGCGTGACATTGAATGATACCAGAGCTCTTTATTTCCAACGAATATCTCGAGTTGCTGTTTTGACAGTCGGAAATATCGGCGATTTTCGGCACGACCGATTTTACGACACGGTCGTAACGTTAGATCGACCGTATTATATAAGTTTAAAAGGAAAAAAATGCAGTTGTGGCGTGGTAAGTTCTTTTCATTTTTTTTTTTTTTTTTTTCGAGAAACAACTTTCTTTCAGAAAGACATGTCTCGTCTTATTCTCCTTCCATTCCTTTTTTTGGCAATTTTCTCCGTGTGTAAGTAGATCGATTTCGGGATAAAATTACATCGAATCTCATACGTATATTTCTGTAATGCGAAATAAATAAAACGAAATTCGATATTATATAATTTAATGTAATAGTTTTATTAAGAAATTAATCGTTACAAAAAAAAAAAAATATTTCGAGTGTAATAGCGATCTAGTGATATTCTGATAAATGTATAGTGGTTGGAGGATTTGTTGGGAGACGGAAATGCAAACAAGATGAGATCTTCACTGGATGCGGTGCACTGTGCCAACCTACTTGCGCCAAACCTGTTTATAAAGGCCATTGCGTCAAGGTTGGTAGCGTTATAATTTTAAAAATTGTCGAATATGTATGGAACCCATACGTGTCTCATTCGTATTTCAGATATGCGTACCAGGATGTTTGTGTCCATTCGGCAAAGTTAGGAATACAAATGGAAAATGCGTTCCATTATCTAAATGTTTTCGAAAAGGATGACTTTTATTATTCCATGATTATTATTATGATTGTCCAGTAATTATTTTATCATTAATAAAAAATTGTTACGTTGTTATTTTATCAGAGATATATATATATACATGTTATTTTCATCGATCTTTATTCATGAAAGATGAAAGATGAATGTAACAATATCACGTGAAGTAATAAAATTACTACATTTTAACGATTATTCGGATCCCTCCGAGTGAAATAACCTGCTTCTCTCATTTTCATTTCCCTTCTCTTTATTATAAACGTTATTCTAATGGAGTCTTTTATTATCCCGTCCATCTTATAAACATAAAAATTCACCCATTAATTAGCGGGAATAAAATAGTTTTTAATTCGGCCTAAAAAAAGTAGAAAAATATATGAAATTCTTTGAAACACGCGACAAACGTGTTGCACGTATCAAAAAAATTCCATTCCGTTTGACGGAACGAAACAGAGACGGAGAGACCGTGTGTTATTTTTCTCCGGAATATGTTCTGTCATAAAATATAGACAGATAGAACGAATAAACAACCTTCAACAAATTTAATCGTTCGTGACATATTTTTTATAATTGTGCGACAATTACACGCATAACTTGTTAATAGACGAAGGATTTAATTATTCGAGTAAAGATTAATCGAAATTGCTGTTTGCGATATTAAACATTAAGGCGTGGTTATTGTCTTATTTCAAATTTTCGTTTAAACGCCGAATCATTTAATTTATTCAACCATGGTTTCTCGGGTGAATGGCCAGGGAAAATGGCGGCCGACTTATCGGGATTATTCAAATGAGTCTAACAATGAGTATAAGTTCAAAGACACCGTCTGTGGAGGAATAATTTTTTTAGATTTAAACTTCGTTATCAACAGATTATTATCGCAATAAATATAATTCAGATACAGCAGGAGCGGTATAAATAAAATTCTTAAGAAGAGTGATAAACCATCCACCGATACACGTATTTTCCAAGAATTTGTTAATCTTTCAAAGAATCGAACGAGAAGGAAGATATTTCGATTATTTGGATTACTCTGTCTTTTTAATTGGATACATCTTCGAAATTTCGATTGTTGAAAAATTTTGTTAACCAACGTGCTCGATATCGAACGTCATTGCTTCATGATATTTATTAACAAAAAAAAAAAAAAAAAAAAAAGAAAAAGAGAAAAAAGAAAAACTATGCATTTGCGTAAAGCGAGAAAGAAAAATTACAAAGATAATTTTACATAGATAAACAGAAGTGGAATTTATATAAAAATTCATTTCGATTCGTTGTTGCATAATCCATGAGAAAGAAGGAGTAATCAACCGAACTGAAGGAAGATTGAATGTAGTATAAATAATTCAATCTTTCCAGAGATAAATTTATTATGCTGTGAAATGGTTTTATCGTTCTATTTCGTTTAAAATGATATTTAAAACGGTATAAATATTAAACAAAACGAATGATACCGGGAAAATTGGTGTATTAATTAAAATTTGATTTACGGTAAATTTACAAATGTATTAACGTTATTATTGCCATTATCTCGACAAAGGTTAAAAGGTTTAAAGTGATAAGCGAAGGAAAAAAAAAAACTGGCAAGGTAACGTATAATAATCAAAAAGTTACGAAAGATTAATTTATCTGCGAATTTTCGTGGAGACAGAAGTTACTCAGTTCCAAGAAATTTGAATGTAAATTCGATAGTTTAGAGACGTTGAATGAATTGCCTTTGGATCGTCCATACCAATGATATTCAGAGATTTTTCAATAAAGTTTCAATAAAAATGAATAAATGATAGCTTAGGGCTGTTCGAAGTTGGCAATCAAGATCTCTTCAATATCTCTCAATTATATATCATTTCAATCCGAACGTATATTTCAACGAGGCATCACGTAATTATATAATGAAATTTCATTCCATTGAAATATATTCTCTCCGGATCTAGATTGAATTTTTTAATGCTCGTAATTTAATTAATATATAATATATCATAAGTTACAATTATAAATAAAATTGTGTTAAATAATTATGGGAGAATATTTCTGCTTTTAATATAGTGATTAATGAATAATAATTAATAATAATTACACGAGACATAAAAAAAGTTCCATTTTACGAAAAAGTTGTAGTATTTATTATTACATTGCGTATTTGTTTATGTTGAAATAACCAAAAAGCATTTGCATTGATGCAATGTGTTATCTCACAAAAGTTTAATAATAATTTGTGCATGCTTTAAATAAAAATAAAAAAAAAAGAGGAATATTTTTATTATACATTTGCATTTTTGTGATCCATGAGGTTTTAATTTATAAGTTGAAAATGCAATTCAAATCATAGATAATGATATTGATTATTCTAGCAATGTAGTAGTTACAGTATAATGATGATACATCCAAAACTTGAAAAACTTAATTATTTACAATAAATTACTGGGATTGCAATTGTTAGGATATTGTTTCGGCGAAAACTGATTAATCTTAACATTTATTAATCAGAGATCGATTATTCATGTTGCTTCATTCATTCATTTTTTTTTATTGCAAACTACATATACAATGTGAATCGTATTAATATCTTAAAGGTTCGTAAATTTAAAAAAAAAAGGAATAATTATTTTTTAAAAAAGAATATTTATAATAAATTTTATTACTACATAATATCTTCTAAATATAAATTATGATATTAATTAAATTTCAGATATTAATCTTTGATTATCAGGCTGAATATTTCATGGAAGTCATTTCAAAGCTTTTAATCATAAAGTTCTTTCTTATTTAATCAGGAAAACATTCGTGAAAGCAGGAACGAATTTTAAGAAGTGAAGGAACTTTTCGAATTTAAAAATCAAAGAGATCGGTCAAGTTTCTTTGAGGAAAAAAAGGAAAAAACAGCAAGATGTGTATAACCAAATATCGTTCAAGTATTTTTAATTTGTTCGTATGGAAAAATTATTCACACATTTAAAATATAAAAGAAACCAGCCTGTCTATGCAGGCTCGTTTAACAAATTCTGTTTTCTCCAATCAATAATCCATCACCGCGTACTTTTGCATGCAAAATAGTGCAGATTCGTATATGAATATTCATGACAAATATATAAAGGCGTCGAATCGAATCTTTTTTTTTTATTTCCTTCTTTATTTATTTATTTATTTATTTATTTATTTATTTAAATACAAATGTCTACTATCATATTCATATATCATACTCTAAATACTAAATCTAATGTTTTTGACAACTATGGTGAATTTCAATGAAAATGACAGAAATTTATATCTGCATATTTAATCTAAAAACGAAATACGCAAATATTTCTGACAATATGAGGTTGATAGACAGTGCTGGATATTAAATTTTCAATATTGCTGTACTTCAAGAAGCGAAAAATATGGTTTATCATATTTTATCATATTTTTTTTTCAAAATATTTTGCAGCCGTAAATGGTTATTGTAAAATTCTCGTTAATAACAAAATATATTATTTATTAAATCATGATTTACTAAACGATATGAGCTTGCATCGAAAATTTTTGCTGCCTATTGTACTTTTTACTTTATTTTTACAATTTGTTTTAACAGGATCGTCAAAAGAGTTATTAATTAATTTATCAAAAGTGATAGAAACTTTTGAATAATCCAAAATTTATAAAATAAATTTGGATTAAATATATTGTACGTTAAATTTAAAAATATTATTATTTTCTTTTTCTTTTTTTTTTTAACATACAAAATGAACTTAATTACTCTTTTAAATTGGATGTAGCATAGGATGAAGAAAAATTCAAATTCAAGCCGCAAAAAGCGCTTTATACGTGATTTTGCAAGATGCGAAAAAATTATTGTCAAAGTTATGCATACAACAAGTTTTCGAATCGATAGAAAATAAAATGAGGCAGTCGATATAGATTCCTATTTTATCAATACTTTTATGTATGGAATTGAGAACAATCTGAAATACTTTTAAAGAGGGAATTTCTGCATTTTATTATATTGCTTTTACACTGCCATGTTCTCATCTACATTTCAAGATTCTACATGCACGTGGCTTTTATACTAAGAAAACAATTCCGATGGAAACCATGGCACTAGAATTTTCAGATTTTTGACATTTTATATTCTTAAAAATCTACGTTTATTTAATAATATTTTATTTATAATTTTAAATTCTTAGGATACGAAGATATTATTATAAACAATAAATATTCCATAAAAATAAACGTATCTATTAGATAATTTATCTCGGAACTCGATTAAACTCAATTAAAATTAGGAAAACTTTGAAGCGGTATAACTTCAAAGAAAGTGGCTTTCTGTCAACGAGTGTACGACCATTGGAAGCACAAAACCTTGTCTTTTAAAACGCTCTGTCATTTATCTCGACAGGATTTCCGGTTCACGAGATATCATCGTGTAAAGAAGAGGATAATTTTTAATCGTTTACTCTCTTTGTCCTTGTTCTCTCTCTCTCTCT